CCCTCCTCTGGGAGGCTCTCCCTGACCACCTCCACCAGGCCAGGTAGGAGTTGCTCTGGGCTCCATGGCCCCTGGGCCTAACAATCCAAGTGGTCTTGGTCCATGTCTGTGTCTTTCTCTCCTTCTCAAGGGCCCAGCGGAGTTTGATCCAAGCCTGGATTCTCAGGCCCCTCCCAAAGGCCTGGCACATGAGGGCCCTGGCAAGTGTTTGCTGGGACCCTGGCTCCTGGGGATGAGTTTTATGATTGCATTACTCTGAAGCCTGGTTTCCTGTGGTCCTGACAGTCACAAAACCAAGGGCTGACAGAGCAACAGGCAACAGGGTTAGAGAAACATTTAGTATGCACTCTGGGAGCCAGAGGCTCTTGACATCGGACTCAGAACAGTGAATCCCGGGATCGCTCAGGGAGACCGCCGCAGCATCATAGCCATAGCCTCCCGGTCTCTGCTCGCGCCCCTTGTTTACTTGGGTGTTCTATTCTCCCTCCTTCCTCCCAAGCAGAACACTTCCTGCTCCTCTGCAAGCCTGATCCTCTTCCAGAAGCTTTCTCTGACTACTCTGACCATGACCTCTGCCCCTCTGCTGGGGACACCCGGGAGGCCCCCTGCCTAGAAGCATCGAACTCCCGAGTTCAGTGTTTTTCTGCCGTGGCAGGTGGACACGGCCTCCGTGTCAGGACAGTGGCCAATCCTCTAGCGCCATGGAGCTCCCACCCACGCCCTTGCCTTGCCCATCCCCCATGAGCTGCCCAAGGAGCAGTAAATCTCCCCATTTGGTCAGTGAAGGATCAGGATCAAAGACAGGGGCTGGCACTGACTTTACTAGGATCACACAGCATGGGGGGTTCCAGGTTGGAGCCTGAACGTCAGGCTCTTGCCTGGCTGGAGGCACTTGAGTGCGATGGTTTGGAGTGGAGTCCAGGGTACCAGTTTTGAAACTATCCACTTTGGTAGCGTGTCCCTATAGCCCTGTGCTGGCCTCTGTCTCCTGTGCTGGGTTTGGCAGGAGTAGTTTGGAGTCCTGCCCTGGTTGGAGGGGAGGGAGCTCAATCCCACGGGAAAATAATTAAAACACGGAGCCTTGAGCAAGGCCCTTCCTCACTGGGGAGTCTCAATTTCCTGATCAGAGACCCACTCCGATGCTCTGAGCGCGTCCTCAGTGAGTGGCCCCTGAAGCCGGGCTCCTGAGAGGGAGAGAGCCTCTGGAGGGGCACAGAGCCTGTGGCCCCTGGAGAGAGGCCTCACACCAGGCGCCGGGCGATAACATCTGAGGTGGCCCCTCTGCTGCTTCCCCAGACAGCCCAGTGCTCCTGGAGCAGCAGCACGTCAGGCAAGGCTGGGGACTGCTGGCTGTTAGCCCTGGGAGAACATTTGGGAGGGGACTCCGGTGGCCTCTGTGCTCCTAGGCCTGTGCAACCCAGCCTTGCCCTCTCCGCTCCCCTCAAGCCACAGGATGATCAGCAGATCCCCTGATGTTTGCTCACTCCACTCCTCTCTCTCGACTCACTTGACCCCTGCTCATCTTTTAAAATGCAGGTCAGGTGTCCTTTCCTCCAGGAAGCCTCCCCTGACCATGCCTCCATTCCCATTAGGGTCCCATTTACCCGAAGTTGTCATTGCTTGTGTCTGGGTGTATCTCCCCCACCCGGAGAGTGAGATCATTGGCAGAGGGAAAGGTCTGACCTCCCTCAGAGTCCCCAAGTGCCCTGCCTCTGTGAAGGAAGGAGTGCAGGGGATGTCTGACTCCTACTGGAGGGTCCCTGGACTGCCTGCCCTGAGGATGGCCTTTGAGTGGGAACTTGATCTGTGGTCAGTCTGGGTGTGACCTGGCCGCCTGGAGCCCCTACCGGAATTCCTATGGGTCTCCTGCCCCTCTCTTCTCAGAATACCTTCCTCCATCCTCCTTGCCTTTTCCACCTGCTGAAATCTTTAAATTATTTTATAAAATGAGTCTAAATCTTCTCATTTAAGTGTCTCAACAACTTCCTGGGGCAGATACTATTCTTATATTGAGAGGAGATTGAGATTCGGGTTTGGGAGTTCAGAATGTTGACCACGTCCTGCAGCTGGGCGTGGCCGAACTGGGGTTGCCCACTTGCCCAGTGCCCTTTCCTGCCCCTTCTGGGTGTCCTGGGTCCAGATCCTCTGTTTCCCACAGCATCCCGCCCCCAGGAGAGACTGGTCGCAGGGGTCTCCAGAGGAGTGACAGAACCTGCTCGGGCCAGCAGCCGGGGCAGGCAGGCAGTACATTCCAGAGCCACCCCATGGAGGAACTGGAATGTCGTCCAACCACCCTGGAAGTTCCAGCCTGTGAATGGCCCCAGCCCCTCCTCCTGGCTTTGCCCTTTAACCTATACCCACAGAGAGAAAGCCCTAGACCGGGGCGGGTAGGCGAGCTGCATGCCACACTCAGCTCTGCCCTTGTCCTACTGGTGACCTGGAGGAGACCTGCATTACCCCTTTCTGGCCTTGGTTTTCCTCCCTGTGTGATGGGTACAGTGACCATGATGGCCGCTTTAGACTGAGAAGTATGAAAAAGAGTGGATCCAGGGCCCGGGCAGTTGGGCTCTCCTGTGGTGGAGACCTGATCTGCAGGCAGAGATGTGGGGCTCCCAAAGGGGTGGTCGGGAGCTTCCTGGGGAGAGAACCTGGTCCCTGTGTGTGGGGTCAGGGGCACAGCTTCTGAAGTCAGGTAGACCAGAGCTGCTCTGCGCTGGTGGGCTGGGTGTCCCTGGAGAGGTTATGCAGCCTCTGAGGCTCCAGATGACCAGAGAAGAAGTACGTGAAGCCATGGCACATGAACCTTGGGACAGGGACAGTGTGGAAGATAAGAGAGGGTGTCCCTCAGCAAAGATGTGGCCACAGGATAGCGTGGGCAGTGCTTTCTTTCGATGGGAAGAGGGGTGGCCCAGAGAGGCGGGTTTTCTGGAGAGGAAGCAGGAATCAGCTGAGCTGGGTCTTGAACTCCAAGCTAAGCACCTTGGACATCATCCTGAAAGCACCAGGGAGCCACGGAAGGTTTTGAGCTCAACAAAGCCAGAAGTGGTCAGATTGATGTTTTAGGAGGCCCACCTGGCTGCAGCGTGAAGGCTGGACAGGTGGGGCAGGGGTGCAGCAAGGAGCTGGGTGAGGAGACGAGCACAAGGGTGTGGAGGACCACGTGATGCCTGTGAAGGAACTTTGTTGGTCGATTGGACAAGACGTGGGGAGCGATGGGCTTCAGGCGGGCATGGAAGAGAGAGTTGCCTGGCTGCATCGCAGGTCGGCCCCGGGAAGGATGCAGACGCCCTTCTCAGAAACAGAGAATTACTTTGGGAAAGTGACGGGCTCCACCCCTACCTGTGGGGTCAGGGCATCTCCCAAGGAGGAGAGGACAGGGAGTGTGATGGGTGGAGCAGGGTGGAAAGGTGACATTCTTTTGTCTTATTCCTAGACTCCAGAGCACACTGGCAGCTCACTGGCCTGTGTCGGCCTGAGACAACTGGGCAAAGTGTCTCAGTGAATGGTGGCCCGGAGGCCCCAACCCTGCCTTGCAGCCTCCACTCCCCACAGCTCCTCTCCCCACAGCCCGTCACCCTTCACTGCCCTTCCCGCTTGGGGACTGGCCTCGGCTGTCAGATCGCACATCCCTGTTCCAGGGAAATGGAGCAGATAGGAAAAAACAGCTCAGGAGGGGGATGTCTCGCTTCTCCTGGGATGTGTCCGAGGTTCTGGTATATGCTGGGACCCGCCCATACAGACGGGTTCCTCCACCGTCAGGTACCCCTGAACTCTCACTGAGGCCCCATGCTTGGCGTGTGTGAAGGGCTCCCAGGCAAAACAAAAGCCAGGGTCAGAATTCAAAAAACCTGGGTTCGAATCTTGACTTTGTCCCTGGCTTACTGTGAGGGCTTAGGCCTCGGTTTTCTCCTCTTTAAAATAGGGTGACTTCTTTACTTTTTTTTTTTTTTTTGGAGAGGTTTTTCACTATAGGGCGCGTGCACTCGCCAGACAGACAGAGAGAGACAGAGAGATAGAAAGCGAGAAATCACCCCCCCAGAGGGGATGGTCACGCCACAATCCCTTCTCCATTCTCCTCTCAGGATCTTGGGCACGCACGCACACGCGCCCGACGTGAGTTTTAAGCCACCGGGTCCGGGACGCGAACCGTGGTCGACTACGTGGGAGTCCAGCGACAGCCATTATGCTAACTGCTGGTTCCCACTTCTTTACTTTTTTTAAAAGTTTTTTTGTTTTGTTTTTGCTATAGGATGCATGCCTCACTAGAGAGACAGAGAGACAGAAACCAAGAAATCACCCTCTGGGGGAATAGCTGCATTCCCTTCTCCTCTCAGGATCTTGGGCACGCATGCACATGCAGCAACTGTGAGTTTCAAGCCTCCAGGTCTGGGACTGCAGTCCACCATGTGGGAGTAACATAACCATTATGCCATCTGTTGGTCCCAAATGCAGTGACTTCTAAAGGTCGTTCCAGGCCCTGTCTGCCTATGTGTGTGCACTGCATGAGTGTGACTGCCTGGGTGTGTCTGTGCCTGCATGTCAGGTGGGTGGTTATAACACTTACAGGAGAGCACTTGGAGGAGGGGGATGTTCTAGGTAGAGACCTTCCTTGGACGAAGCAAGTCCTGCAGTGTATGCTGGGCTGGCAGGATGGTTTCCTGCTGTGGGGCTGGAGCACAGAGCCAGGACCCAGGGAGGGGTTGCTGGAGGCTTGGCTCAGTCTGCAGGATCTGGGGGAGACCTCCCCTCAGCAGAGCCAACCTCCTGGGGAAGAGGGTGCCCAGGTAAGGAAGCTGTGAACAACTCGTCTCTAGGTATGTGAGCTGGGGGTAAGCGTCTCAGGGACTGGGGGTGCAGAAGCCACTGAAACCAGGACAAGCACACCAGGTCACCTTTCTGCCGCTTTCAGGCCAAGGTCGGCCACCGTGGGAGGGCTGGGCTGGACTGGCTGGCTTCCTGTGACCCCAGCCCACACTGTCTCCACCTCCCTGTGTCTGCAGGAGCTCCCTGTGGCAGCAGCGACAACAGCCTGCCCTGAAAAATGCTGGAGGCTGGGCGTGGCCCTAGGCCGGGGGACCTGTTTTTCCTGTTTCTCGCAGAGTTCCCTGCAGCCTGGTCCAGGCCTATGCACTCTGGAGGAAGGAACCTGAGCAGGCGCTGAGCATCCTGACAGCGGAGCGGGGCCGGTCAGGTACAGGTGTGCAGGGCAGCCACTGGCTGGGAGGCCTGGCGGGCGGGCCTGGGCATGGGGGTGTGTCCACTGAACTGGGATTCCTGCAGAGGTATCTGAGCCCTCGACCTGGCCTGTGATGTATTTATAACACCTTGGGTACCTTGCTTTGGGACCATACAGCCCTGGGGGTCAAGCCCAATTCCTGGAGAGACAATACCCAATTTGCCCAACTCCTGCAAATGTGACCTAGAACAAATAGCTTAACGGCCATGGTAGTATCTACCAAATGGAAAGGTCGAGAGATGAAGGGAAGATGCTGCCTGGAAGCTGCTCAGCCCAGGACTGGCCCCTGAAAGGTGGGGTGGATGGCAGTGAGGGCTCCATGATGGGGAACTCCAGCTGAGCCAACCATAACCTGAGCCAGGGGTGGGCCAGATCAAAGCTGTGTCTGGCCTCAGCTGACCCATCCCCAGAAGGCCTAATCCAATCCCCCCCCTCCCCCCCCCCCACACACACTTTCTGGCCTGTCAAGGGAAGAGGCATGGTCATCCTAGCCCCTGCAGCTCTATAAGGAGACTATCCGGGGTAGGAGTCACTGAGAGGGCAGAGTTGTCCCCTGGCCACCTGGGGTCAGCCGCTGAGAGATCTTTTTTTGTTTTGCTTTGTTTTATTTTGTTTTTTAGAGAGTTGGTTTTTTGTTTTTTTTTTTTTTGCTACAGGGTATCTGCACTTGCTAGAGACACAGAGAGAAACAGAGAGAGAGAAAGTGAAAAGTCTCTCCCTCAGGGAGGAGGGCCACATCACAATACTGTCTCCCCCATTCTCCTCGCAGGATTTTGAATATGCATGCTCACATGTCCTGTGAGTTTTAAGCCACTGGGTCCAAGACTCAAACTGTGGTTGGCTATGTGGGAGTCCAGGCCCTTACTCAGTATGCCACCTGCTGGCCAAGCTGAGACATCCTTAGGCATTATTGTCCTCCAACAGGCCCTCAGATGGAGGGTGCTCTGCTCGAGAAAGCAGCAGCGCCTTCACCTGAGCTCGGGGCTGCCGCAGCCTCCCTCCGGGCTTGCTTCCTTCCTGCTCACTTCCTGCTCACTCTGTACCACCTGCACTGGGTCAGGCCTCTTGCTGGGTGACAGGGACAGAGAAAGCCCAGGGTGGATCAGCCCTCAAGGAGCCCCTGGCACGTGCTGGGGTAGTGGGCGGAAGGACAAATTACAATAAGACTGGAGGAACAGCAGAGGTGGGTAACCTTTGGGAAGAGGCCGGGGCAGCCAGAACCAGGCACCAAGGGGCCAGTGAACAGCATTGCACCAAGTCAGGAGCTGGGGTGAAGTCCGAAAAGCAGCCAGGGTCAGGGGAGGCAGAGGAGAGGCCCAGAGGGAGAGGACTGGGGACCCCAGTGTCTCCCTAAAGCAGGCGCTGGTGGTGAGTGGGCAGGGCCTAGGAAACGCCTGCTCACTGGCTAGTGAACCAGTTCATGGAGGGAGAGGGCGGCCAGGGTCAGTCTGGCCTGGGGCCACAGTGATGGAATCCCCAGCTGGCCTGGGAGGGGACCAGGATGTCTGAACACAGGTGGAAGGGGTAGCTCCCTCGGTTGGTGGGGAGACAGGGAAGTCTCCACCTTTAAATGTCAGAGATTCCACCATTAGTGCTCGTCAGGAAACTCCGTGCAGAGTGAGAGACGCCCACTCTGCCAAGGAGATGGGGGGGACCCTGGGGTAGGGGCAGAGAAGCAGCTTGGGGGAAGCCACCTCCCTGACTCCAGGGAGCAAAGTTTCCTTCTGGGCAAGTTTGGTTTTCCAAGACTGGAGGCTCTGACCCATGAGAGGTCTGAGAGTCTGGAGGGAAGAAAGTGCCTGCTGGTCTTTGGTGGCTAGCTGGTCTTGAACATAGGCTTATGCCTCCCAGGCCGGGCCATCCTGGAAGCGAATGGAACTTCTGCAGCTTCTGGGAGCCCTGACTCCCAGCTTGCCATGTTCCTGCCCTACACTTCCCATGTCCAACACGGAATTCCTCCCAAGCCTTCCTGTCCCCAGCCCTGGGCCAAGCCTCCTTGGCGGCACCCCTCTCTCCCGCCCCTCCTCTCCAGGAGACAGTCTCGGCAGTCACTTCTGAGGCCAGCCTTGAGGCTCATGGCTCTGCTGTGAACCCACTAAGCACGAGGCACGTACACTACAGCAGCCCTGGCGAGTCTAGATGGCGAGTCTACCCATTGCCTCATCTTTTAAAAATTTAATGTAACTTAATAATTATTTTCAATTTGCTATCTTATCACCTTATCTGATAGCTGAGGAAACAAAGCCCGGCTGGCTCCAGAGGCCAGTCCTCAGTCACTGCACTGCAGGATAAAGAGCTGTGGTCCCAGCAAGAGGGGAGGAGGGTGTGGGTGGGTTCCAGGGCGCAGGAGCAGCAGGAAGTAAGGCTGGGGGCACATTAGGGCAGCTGCTCAGAGGTGGGCATGGTGTATCTGGCCCAGGCTGGGTTATGAGAGCCTCAGGTACCAGACCCTGGAGCTGGGCTTCCTCCTGGGAGCCCCTGAGCCACAGAGAGTTTCCAGCGAGGGAAGGGCTTTTTCACAAAGACCCTTCTAGAGCAGAGGGAGAGGCTGAGGCTGGAGGGAGGCTGATGGGATGGTTCTGGCAACAAGAGGTAGGGCAATGGGCTGGGGCAGGGAGCAGGGTAGGGCGCAGGCAGTGCTGGAGTGCTGGTCCCTGCTGACCCTGGCCAAGAGGCCTTCTAGCTGCTTGGCTCTGCCAGAGTCCCACCTTGACCTCCCGGTTCTGACTTGGCAACACAGCTCTTCTCTCTGCCTCCTCACCCTGTTCTGCCCCTAGGGGCCCTCTCTGTCCATGCCTTGGGGGTCAGGGTGCAGGCCCCCTTCCTCCTGGGTGCATATTTGTTGATAGCAAGAGACAGGGAAGATTGAGAAGCATGGAAAAAGAAGGGAAGCTGAGAAACCTGTGTGCCACTCAGCGCCCCAATCTCAACCTCGGGAGCCTTGAACTGCCGCTGGGAAGCCAGGGCTGGTCTAAGGGAGTATGGCCAGCCCTGCAGAGTCCCCAAGTCCTAGCTTCCCAGGACGCCCGGATTCAAATGGAAGGGAATTACACAGCCCCAGGTTCTCAGGGTGGGGAGGACTCACACATCACATGCCCCCTCTGTCCTCCCAGACACACCCACACACGGGCATGTGCCTTCTGCAGCCTCTGCTGGAGAGCCACTTGCACACCTCCATGAGCGAGGAGTTCACTACCTCCGTTCTACAGCCCCTTCTGCAGTACCGTGGGGTGGACCCACATCAGCATTGCAGCCCATTCCCGGCTGTCAAGCTCACTTGGCTAAATTACTTCAATGATCTATTTCTTAGCCTCTTGATTAAAAAGCTGAGGATAGGGGCCAGCAGATGGCATAGTGGTTGCAACATTGGATTCCTACATGGCCGATTGCAGTTCAAGTCCTGGACCCAGTGGCTTGAAACTCACGTCAGGCACATGTGCCTGTGTACCCAAGATCCCAGGAGGAGGATCCCAGGGGGTGGTTGCAGTGTGGCCATCCCCCAGGGGGTGATTTCTCACTTTTCTTCTCACTGTCTCTGTCTCCCTCTCTCTCTCCCTCTCTCTCTTTGATGAGTGCACATGCCCTAAGGCAAAAATCTATTTTTTAAAAAAAAGGAAGCTAGGGATAGTGACCTGGTTCCCAGAGCATGATGCAGGGATTAACTGGGCAACTTTGATAAAGCACATATGGTAGTAAGATTTGAAAAATGCCAGGTCCCCCTGTCTTGTCACGCTGTTAGAGAGTTATTCTTTGGGCCTGGCTAAGTTGAAAGCGGTAGGGTGCCAGAGGCCACCTGGAGGCCTGGGTTAGGTTCCCAGACCAGCCTAAATAGGCCTGGCATAATACTGCATGCCTGGGGGCATGGTGGTCAAGGCACTGGACTCCTACGTGGTTGGCTGCAGTTAGAGTCCCAGACTGGGAGGCTTGAAACACACTGGGTACATGTGTGTGTATGCCCAAAATTTTAAGAGGAGAGTGAAGAAGGGATTGTGGCATGGCCATCTCCCCAGGGGGTGATTTCTTGCTTTCTCTCTGCCTCTGCAGTGAGTGCATGAGCCCTATGGTAAAAATCTCCCCTACACACAATAAAAGAGATAGTGTATGCATGGAGTCCTAGCTAACCCTGAGGCTGGGCAGGAGGACCGTGACATGGCAAGACCCTGTCAAAAATACCTCTCTCTCTCTCTCTCATTTAAGAAAGGAAGTTATTCTCTTCCCCCCCCCCCAAAGCTGTCCCCCTGGAACTCTTGCTATGATTTCCAGCTTGTCCTCTAGGGCCTTTGGGCACATCTTTGCCCTCTGGACTGGGGTATCTGTCCCTTGCCTCCCAGAGCGCTCTTATTGGTGACATAGACAGGGGAGGGGGGAGGAGGGAGGAGGAGGGAGGAAGATAACCTGCCCTCTGGGGCTCACTCTCCCCTGGGCAGTCAGGCCTCACAGGTGTGATACATGCTCCCTAGGGCAGGTGGGGAAATGGCAAAGTAGTGGGGGCATGCACAGAGAAACCGGGCAGACCAAGAGGTTGAAAAGGAAATCCCCACTTACTCCCATCCCTATCTCCACCCAGACATCCCCGGACTCTGGGAGGGTTACCGTCGCCCTGGGAGGCCGGGACAGGACTGCTGTCTGCACGGGTAGGAAGTGCCAGAACATAGGCCTACCTACAAAATATTTGCTGAGCAAGTGAAAACGGACTGAAGAGGCCCTGGAAATACTTCACCACATACGGGATCAGGCTCAGGACCAGAGCCTCCGCAGAGAGGGGAAGATGAGCTGAGGAAAGAGCTCTGTCATGCCCGTAAACATCCAAGGCTGCCCACTGGGCACAACCCCGCACTGGTGTGAAGCTGCTGGACAGGCTCCAAGTCCCTTCCCCACAACCCTGAAATTACAGCCCTAGGGCCTCCAGGACTCATTCTAGAGCCCAGAAACCCCAGACCTAGAACTCTGTATCCTGAGGTCCTAGAGCCAGGCCAGCACTTTATTTTTAAAGGTCAGACAATAAATATTTGACTTTGCAGGTCACAAGGCCTTTGTCACAACTGCTTAACTCTGTAAACAGATGGGTATGGTTGTGTTCCAATAAAACTTTATTGACAGACTGCTGGGTTGGACTAAGTCGCAGGGCTGTTTGCCTACCCTCGTTCTAAAGTTTTAGCATCCTTCCATCCTGATATTCGCCGTCCTATGTAGTCTCAGGGTTTCAGGGGTTGGAACTCTGGGTCCAGGGAGAGATCCGGGTCAGATGGCCGTGAAGGCCTTGGTCGGGTGGGTGTCCCTCCCAGAGGCCAAGGCCCTGATGACTCTTCTTCCCACTCCCACGTCCCTGCAGGGTGATGGCGACCGATGTGGGCCCGTGGAATGGCACCAGCAATGGTACCTGGGACGGGGATGAGCTGGGCTACCGGTGCCGCTTCAACGAGGACTTCAAGTACGTGCTGCTGCCGGTGTCCTACGGCGTGGTGTGCGTGCTCGGCCTGAGCCTCAACGCCGCGGCGCTCTACATCTTCCTGTGCCGCCTCAAGACCTGGAACGCCTCCACCACCTACATGTTCCACCTGGCGGTGTCGGACGCGCTGTACGCCGCCTCGCTGCCGCTGCTGGTGTATTACTACGCGCACGGCGACCACTGGCCCTTCAGCGCGGCGCTCTGCAAGCTGGTGCGCTTCCTCTTCTACACCAACCTGTACTGCAGCATCCTCTTCCTCACCTGCATCAGCGTGCACCGCTGCCTGGGCGTGCTGCGCCCGCTGCGCTCGCTGCGCTGGGGCCGGGCCCGCTACGCGCGCCGCGTGGCCGCGGCCGTGTGGGTGCTGGTGCTGGCCTGCCAGGCGCCCGTGCTCTACTTCGTCACCACCAGCGTGCGCGGCGGCCGCATCACCTGCCACGACACCTCGGCGCCGGAGCTCTTCAGCCGCTTTGTGGCCTACAGCTCCGTCATGCTGGGCCTGCTGTTCGCAGCGCCGTTCGCCGTCATCCTGGTCTGCTACGCGCTCATGGCGCGCCGGCTGCTGAGGCCGGCCTACGGGACCGCCGGGGGCCTGCCCCGCGCCAAGCGCAAGTCGGTGCGCACCATCGCCGTGGTGCTGGCGGTCTTCGCGCTCTGCTTCTTGCCCTTCCATGTCACCCGCACCCTCTACTACTCCTTCCGCTCACTCAACCTCAGCTGCCGCACCCTCAACGCAGTCAACATGGCCTACAAGATCACCCGGCCTCTGGCCAGTGCCAACAGTTGCCTGGACCCCGTGCTCTACTTCCTGGCTGGGCAGAGGCTTGTCCGCTTTGCCCGGGACGCCAAGCCACCCACGGACCCCACCCCTGCCACCAGGGCTCACCGCAGGCTGGGCCTGCGCAGGTCGGACAGAACTGATCCCAAGGGGACAGACGATGTGTCAGCCAGCAGTGAGAACTCCAGGCAGACTGAATCCATGCAGGGTGGCAGCGAGGACACCAAGGACATCCAGTTATAGGATCTGAGCCCCTTGGGGGCTGTGCAAGTTTATAGACGGGGACCTGAGTCCTGGTAAGGGACCAGGACTCGTTCCGATGTAATGGTCTTCCCAGATGAGGACCAGAAGTGACTCGTGCCAGATGATCAAGGAAGCCACTACTTCACACTGCTCCCTCCCTCTGTGGTCTAGAGGCACCTGGCCCCATAGCCCCAGTCATCGTTATATGTGTGTGGGGGGGTCTACAGTTTCAAGAAAGGCAATTGTTCAGGGCCAGCGCCTTCAAATAGCTGCCCTACCTGCCCAGGCCTCTAGGCTGGAGTCCCAGTCGCATGGAATGGAGGGACAGGCCCAGAGAAGAAGGTGGCCTTCCAAGGTCATGCAGCAGAGTCTGGCCTGAGCTACCCAGGGTGGGCCACAGACTGACTGAAGGACTCGGATAAGGCTGAGCTCCCACAGTGGGCTGGGATGGGACTTGCTGCCGTGGTAGACTCAGCACTGAAGAACACCCCAGCCCAAGAGAACAGCAGGAGGTGATGTCATACGGCCATCTAAGGCCCCCTGGGCCCGGAGCCGGTGGGAGGTTGTAACTTATACTAAAGGTTGTGTTGTCTGCTGAGCTGTGGCGCCGCATGGTGAGAGGGTGGGGGCACAGCCTGGGGAGAGTCTCCCCCATGCAGGGGTCCTTCCTCCCACCTGTTCACCTCTGCCACCTGCAGTCCTACTGGCTGCCCTGGGGACAGTCTCACATGGCACCAGGGATTTCCTGTGCGTACTAGGTAACCCCCACTTTAAAGCCAGTTGGCTGGTTCTGTGCTAGGCACAGAGAAGAGTTGGGTGGGAGACAGTCCTTGGGACCCCCAGTTTTGGTGAAGACCAGTCATGTGCTGGTAAATGGGAAACCACTTACACGGGTCCCCAGATCTGCATTGCCAGGGTACAAATACTACGGCGGTGGCCGATTTCAAACGCCTAACCTGACGTTGCTCTTCTTCGGAGTTCCAGAAAGTCTAACAAGTGGCTCTCACACTGGATGATGCTGATGATGGGGGCTGCAGGTCGGGGGTCAGAGAAGGCTTCCTGGAGTGTGTGTGTGTGTTGGGGATTGGTGAGGGGCTTCCGAGCTGCAGCTTTTAAGAAAGCAGTTTACCCGAAGAACATTGTTCAGGTGAGGAGACATCCAGGACAGAGACATGGGGCATGCCAGCAGAGGAGCAGGGCCCACCGGGAGGCTAGGCACTGGTGCCAGGCTCTGGCACAGATGAGGCTGGAGGTCGGACCCCAAGGAGGCCAAGCTGGGCTCCTCCTTTCCCTAACCACGAGCTTCTTTGCCTCTAGGGGTAAGTGTAAGAGTCACTGTCCTCTTTCCACCCAGTCCTCTGCTGTCTGGAAAAATGTCAGCTGTGTGGCATGAGGGTTGGTGCCCAGGCTGGACGGGGCTCAGCATGGGGAAGGTGGGTCTCGTCTATGCCAGGGTTTGGACTCAGCCAGGACCACGCTGAGCTGACATGTGGCCCCTGACAGGGCCCCGGCCTATCCCTTTGGGCTGGGATACTACAAAGCCTGCAGGCCCCACTCTTGGCCTCAACGACAGGGACTCACTCCTCTCCCTCTGTGAGAGCCCCGCCCGAGAGAAGTTCCCTCTTTCTACTTGCGTCCTACTACTTCTCAGCCCTTCCTGCTCTGCCTTGTCCAGGGCAGAGCACCCCCATGGAGAGCCTAGCTCTGCAGCTCCATCTTGTGACAGGGACCCGCCGCAGGACATAACCCGAATGGTTGCTGCATTGTGCAGTTAGGGTGACCGCCAGAACAGCGTAAGACGCTCACCTCCCACATTCCATGTTCTACACTTCTCTTCATGTGGCTCGAGTCTTTCTGAGCTTTCTTGGTGACAACCTCTATGGGCCATCCTTGAGTCTTTCCTGCAGACCTGAGACTATCTCTTTCCTACCAGCTGCTGCTCAAGAGGGGCTCCATCTGTGTATGGGGAACCCCTACCCAGGTGAGAATCCTGGAATATGAATGCTGAGTGCTGGTCCTCTCAGCATTTGCTTAGACCTGGAGGCAGGGGTGGGGGCTGTACCACATGACTGGGGTGCATCTGAGGTTGAGGGGAGGGCGACGGTCCCCATAAGCCCGGTTCTCCTGGTCTCTGTGCCTCTCGTGTCTTGCGCATACCCTGAAGAAGCCAGGCCCGCCATGCAGGAGGCACACTGTGGCTTTCCCTGAAGCACTGCTAAGGGCGTAGGATCTGGGGGACAGGGTGGCTTGTTCACCACCTAGTCCTGTGCAGGTGGAGGTGGGAAATGCAGACCCTGGGGATCCAGGGACAGGCCCAGAATCCCATCTGTGGGCCCTAAATGGGCTGCCGGGGCCCGTGGAGCCCAATCTGGCCCCACTGCTCAGAGCCTAGCCACTGCCTGGTCGATGAGGTTCCTGACCCTGCTGCCCTGCGCTATTTTCAGCCCAAAAGAGACCAAGATTTTCCAGTCCTGGCCCCAGACCATTGTCCAGTGGTGACATGGGGAGACCTGCCTGGGCTCAAAATATCTCCTACCCTCCAGGTCTCCCTGCCCCTCCCCACCCTGACATCACTTCCTGGGGCTGTTGACTCCTGCAGGCCACTGTGAAAGGGCACGTGAGTCACCCAGCCACCCGGCAGGACCCCAGGGATTATCCAACCCAGCTGCAGAGTCAAGGCCAGAGAAGGGCGGGGCCCTGCCCAAGGTCGCTCAGCTGGTCAGCGGCACCGGCTGGGTGTGAGCCAGGGGCTCTGGCTGCTCCCATGGCCCCACCTCCTACCCCCCCCAGGCCGCTGCCTTTGTGGGACTCCTGTGTCACCCCCCACCACCCAGCTCTTCCTGGGAGGGTGAGGTAGAGGGCCAGTAGCGGAAGTGTATGGGCAACAACTCTACCTGCAGCTGCTGTTCTCAGTGAGCTCCAGGTGACCAGGGCCCGGCACATGAGGGTCTCTGCTGTGGCTGGCATGTGTCCCAGGGCCCAGGAAGGAGCAGGGGTCAGCTCTTCCTGGGAGGGTGAGGTAGAGGGCCAGTAGCGGAAGTGTATGGGCAACAACTCTACCTGCAGCTGCTGTTCTCAGTGAGCTCCAGGTGACCAGGGCCCGGCACATGAGGGTCTCTGCTGTGGCTGGCATGTGTCCCAGGGCCCAGGAAGGAGCAGGGGTC